TCAATTAAACTGACATTCCTGCATGTTGCTTTCAAACACCTGCTGGCTAAGGAATCCCCCTTGGCCAATGATAATACATTGATTGATATTAGCCATGCTCATACTTTCAGTCATCGAGTGGTCGTGGGGTATAAGCATTTTTCTATCTTAGTTAAGCCCCAAAATATGTTTCAGTAGGATGTTGCTCATACTGGTTGTCTTTCGCTGGTATATCACTGAAGAAGGGAGAAAGATTCCAAGGAACTTAAGTTCAGATAACACAGCAAATTGCAGTCTTCATTAACTTTCCAATTTAATCCAGTTTATTATTTTCTGCAAGCTAATATTACGACAGCTATCTTATCAATGTTTGAATATTTGATTAATTTGGAAAAAAAAAAAAAAAATCTGTTTGTAAAGCTGCATTAGGTACTGCTAAGAAAGCATGTTTTGAAGTCAAGCACAGTAAAATGCAAAATTGTTGAAAAAAATGGATAAAGTCTCAAAATTACGTGAGAAGTATGGTGCTGGAAAGTCTACGATATAAAAAAAAGCAGAAAAAAAGAAATTTTTGAATACTTTGTGGATCCTAACATCCCACTTTCAATGAATAACAGAAGAATCATTCATTATGCTAAAAGTCATGATTATTACACTTTGATGAATAAATGGACCAGACAGTGTCAAAGTGAGAAAGTGTCATTAACAGATCCAATATTAATGGTTCAAGGCAAAATCTTTCATGAAAAAATGGACTTAAAAAACTGAGTGCACATATTTAACAGGTTGGTTTACTCCAGTCAAAAGTCTTTATTCCGGACTCGTCGGGACTTCAGAGATTCCGGATTATCAATTTTTCCTGATTATAGATCATCAGTTTAATTCCGGTAAGATGACATGCAGAAATTATAAAATTAAAAATATGAAACCATAATTTATGAAATAAAGAGCAATTATGATCTAAAGGGTATCAAAATTTACAAAAAAAAAGCTTAATAATTATTTGTTTACTTTATTAATCATTTCGCAGTGCGCATGTGTAAAGCATACGTTAAGCATAGTCGAAATTAGAAAATTGCAACCAGAAAACTATTTGATTTGTATTCGTGATATTTATAATGACGAGGAAATTGATTTAAATCATATCAAAGATGGAGTACATCGAGATGAAATACTACATTTAGTAAGGAATTATAAGCCGAATAAAATAAAAACATCTGCCCTGAAGGTAAGGATAGTGCTGACAGATCAACTTCCAGTTCATTGAGCGCCGCGACGTCCCCCCCCCCCCCTCCCGCAGAGCAGCCTGAAATTGATAAACAGATTTCGGAATGGTTAGAGAAACGAAGGTTATACCTTTATCCATTTTTTGCAGCAATTCCACTTTTTGTTTAATGGACTTCGAAACATACTTTCGCTTTGTAGATCCAGCATGAGAAATTCTATTTGACATAATCGAAAGTTCCAACTTACTTTTATAAAATTGCTGTAACAGTCTGCAAAAAATAATGAGCCAGATCCAATTCGAAGATTAAGGAAAAACGCAATCTGCAACATTAACTGAAATAGATAATTAGATAATTTTAGCTTAGCTTATACCGTCCGTTATACATTAAACGCGTATGCCTAAACGTATTATGTGCATGCGTACACGCATATGCGCATGCGTAAAGGTATTACTGCGCACGCGTCAACGAGGTCCGGATTAACGACTTTTGACTGTAAATGTAAAAATAATCATGGCATAAAGCAGTTAAAAACTTCAAATGACAAAACTTTGGCTTATACTGACGCATCTGAACATTTTGCAGGTGAATTCATCGCAGTCGTTAATAATAAAACATTATCTCCAGAAAAATTTTGCTGACAAATGCATTCTTTTATGGCCATATATGGCCTGAAATATCTTGGTGACTTCTGTAGAAAAGGCCCCAAATGGTGTCAGATTCCAAAGTGAGACTAATGATTATGGCACATGTGAATGCTGCAGAAAAGCAGAAGTGTAAACTCTTCATAATTATAAAACACATGATTTCAAACTTTTAAAGAAGTAAAGATTTTGCTTGTCATCTAGCTTTCACATAAAAGAATATCAATAATGCAAACATTAATTAATGATCTGTTTGAAAATCATTCCATACCTGAGGCTTGACAATATTTGAAATTGGTTGGCTTACCAGATGATGCAAAAATTATTTTGATTACAAACAACTGTTCGTTTCCTACTTCCCTTAAAGATTTAGTAAAAGATAACATCACCATTTTATTCTTCATTCATTCTCAGCTGATACATATTACAGTGCTGTGCAAACTGAAATGCAGATATAAAGTAGCCTTTTTAAAATCCATGTTAAATTTTCTCAACAGTGATAAGACTATTCAAGAATTTTTTTAATATTCTTGCATAAAATCTGCTATATGGAGCATGGCAATGCCATGGGAGGACATGTCTGCAGGTATTTAATAAATATTTTAAATTAATTTATGGCAGCAATCTTATTTCAAGATGATGATGGTGATGACAGACATAATTTGGAAGATTTTTCAGATATTACAAGCAAAAGGTGAAATTTTCCGATTAATAGAAATTGTGAATAAATATGAAGAAGTAATAATGAATGAAAATGATATTACAGAAGTCTTCCCTTGCGATAACAATGCCTCAATCTAACAGACAGCAAACACCATAGCATAGTTTTAAATCCCAAAAATATCGCTAATGAGGCATATACATACTACATAACATATGACGAAAGTGACAAAGAGGTTGTTGAGAATAAAAAGGTTTCAGCTGCCAGTTTAGAGGAAATTCTTGATATGACAACTAAAAAATTTAAATAACAGAACTCTGAAAAAGATATGTCTATTTATAAAATTAAAGAGAAAGTTTAGCATGAAAAGGAAAAGTTAACCATTTACATTAAAAAAAATTCTTAATAAAACAAATAAATATTACACCTTTTTTTATAAATTTTCATTTCCTTAAGGTCATAAATGCTTCATTGTTTTAAAAAGAACAATTTCATGCTTTTAATTTTATAATTTCTATACATCATTTTACTAGATTTAAACTAATGATCTAAAACCCAGAAGTTACGAGATCCAGAATTAGCGAAGTCCCATCAATTCCACATCTCAAACTTTGTACTGGATAATAAACAGTGTTAAGACTGCCAGTCATATAGCAAAGGTTAGCAATTTATTCATAATCTTGGAACCATTTAAATAATAGGTGCTGTAATAATAATGAAATAGTAAAATTTGGAAATGCCACTAAAGTTTCCAGCTGAAGTTCAGCTAGAGTTTTGATCTAAACTATGTCAGTTGATATAAACAAATGCATGTGTTCTGAATGCTTCAAAGTACAATTTTTTTTGGGGGGGGGATTATGATATATGTCAGATGTTTTAGTATTTTAGAGGTTCTATTTATTTTATTTTTTATTTTTTATTTTTTTTTTAGATTTTTCCTAGCCTTAAGACAGTTATTTTGTATTATTTGAGGAAATAATTTTTACGCCTAAATAGGAAAATGAAAACGGCATTTAACAGATGATGAGGTAGGTAGGGGTAGAAACACTGTAGTGTTTACTTTTCTAATAGCTATTTTTATTTGGGAACAAGCCTTACCTATACATTCTCATTTCCTACCTATGTTGCCCTGCCAGAATGAGTTTCCAAGATAACTATATATGTAAATTGGGTAGAAATGAGTATTTAAGCTGAAGTCTTGGTCACTCCAGTAGGGCAGCATCTTCTGCTTTGTCTAAGCTTAATGTTCTATGGCCATACTCTTACCTGCCAGCTAATATACACCAGTGATCTTAAATAAGGGCCAACTCTGTCAGTTAATTCTGTGCAGCTTCAGCTAGTTTATTTCAGTTAGCATTAGGTTAGTTTTGTATTTTCTATCTTGAGTTAAGCTTACTGTAAGATTGAGAAGGGGCCATCTGTTCATTTATTTTGAGTTGGAATAAAGGGTAATTTAACCCTTCTTTGGAGATGTTACTTACAAAAGCTCAGTGAATAGTTATTACACAGTTCTTTTAGTATTCTAGCTCACAAGGAAATATAATTCGGCTAGGATATTACAACATAAATGATAAATGAGCCTTTTCCTGATAGTTATATGGATTCTTATACGGACATACTTATTTGAGGTAAGTCAAAAATTATACATGCCAGTTTTTTATGAGATTTTAATAATTTTTATATTTATTAATATATCGTGTTAAATAAAATATGTGACTGCTTAGATATTTTTTCACACATATTTATTTGAAATAAGTCAAAAATTATATCATTCTAGAATTGATTATTTTATGAAATTTTTAAGCAAAATATAATGATAAGGTTTTTAAATTAATTAATAACTACCCGAGTTCCTCTCATAATGTGCTCAAAACCGGAATAATTGGACCACAAATTTAGTTTACATGAATTTTTTTCCAAAGTTATGCTTAGCAGCATGAATTATCCACCCCCACAAGATAGTGCATATTATTAGCATGGCATCTCAGGAGAGTGGTTCAGTGACTTAGGTGCTTGTAGCAAATGGGTTAAGGTGGTTGTACTACTCCTTAAGTAATCTTTTACTATATACAATAAACTATAGAAAAAATAAAGGCTAATGGAGCATTCATTTTAAATACAAATAAATACAGATAAAAACTGATAGCATTTACTAGTCAAATGTTTCTATTATAGGATACAGATTTTGAGTACGACTTCTTCAGAAATATAAAAAAAACCAGAATGATGAATTCACTTCCAGTTAAAGTGGAATCATTTTTCTACAAGCAATCTACATATATATACATATAATCACAAAGTATCTACATACAATTATGAAATGATAAAAATATAAAGCAAAGATTAGCGTCCTTAGACAAAAGAACTTCACTGAAATTTATTTATCACTTCTTCCATAAAAACAGATGGCCATGTATACAATATGGAATGTAAAGAGAATTAACTTTAATATGTAAAATCAATTTTGAAACAAAGTGAAAATTCACTTACTGCTACAGTTGACCCATTTTTTCCTATGCCACCTTTACATACAACAACAATATGATAATAACATAAAACAAGCGAAATGAAAAATGCCATTAAGATTGGCAAAACTCGCAGTTCAATGTTTAGAAGTGGAACCTGAAACAAGAGACATGGCAAAGTTATAAGACATTAAAAACTGAAATACAAATGTACAATTATGTTCATATCATAATATCTAGTTTTCTCTTAAACATACATAAATACTGATAATTCACTTAGATACTCATAATTAATGATTTTTAGCTAATAACCCAACATAGATCCTTTATCATAAAAGTGAAGCAACAACCTGTGATAGGCATAGATTTTTAGCATAGAAACTCTATCGATTTCGAGGGCGAATAAAGTTCCTCTTCATCAGGAGCAAAGAAATCTGCAACTGAAAAACCAATTTACTCTCAACTTTCTTAGGGTATAAATATGTTCGTAACTTGGTTTTTCAGTTGCAGATTTCTTTGCTCCTGATGAAGAGGGACTTTGTTTGCCCTCAAAATTAATAAAGTTTCTATGCTAAAAATCTGCACCTATCACATGTTGTTGCTTTACTTTTATGATTTATTTGAGATGTGTTTTTCTTCCGTCTTGATAAATTCTTTAATTATCAAAACATCCCATTTTCATTTTGTAATTTATCCTGCTTACAGAATATTTAATTTCTATCAAAAATATGCATTTGAAAACAAACTAACCATTATCGCCCCATCTTTATGAATTATGAATACAAATAAGCACATTTTGGTTAATGGAGCACTAGTAGTAACTGCGCACAAAAGAGCTAAATGTGGTAATTATTCTATTTCAGAAGTAGCTATGCAACAACACCACTAGACCAATGCAGGGCTGGTTTAGGGATCCTTCAACATCAGCAGTTGCAAGGGGCCTCTGCCATGCATAAATATTACTAAACTAATCTGAACTTCTTATTTAAACACCACTTTTATGCTTTAAATTTTTGAAAACATGCACAGAATTCCAGTTTAATAATTCAAAATCGCAACTGTAATTTCTCAGAATATTTAGAATTTTTCAATCGAATTGACACTAAACCTTCAGACCAAAGGATTTGAAATTCAAATTCAAGTTCTTTGCTGTATAACCAATGGTCGGATAGCAATGTTTTCATAAATGACTTTAATTATTGCCACCTAAGTGGAAGATTCTCAAAACTCCAATGGATGCTGTCATTCCATTGGAATCAAAAATCCAAACAGAATTTGAACTTCCAGAATCAAAAAGCCTACAAGTTATCCATACATACTAGATAATCATAAATGTCCCGATTTTTCAGTTTGCTTATAGATATGGCATTTTCAAATTTTTTGATGTAAACATTTTCTCTTTTTCCTATTTCTGCTAATTTACATTCAAATAAGAAACAGTATTTCAAATGAACAGTAGTTTTTCAAAATTACTTATAACTGAATTTTTATTTTCTTTGATAGTAGAGATTTATTGCTTTTAATTGGTGATAAGAGGTAGTAATTTTATTTATACCGAGTTGACTATATGAATTATACTGAGTCGACTTTTATAACATTTCTGTCATAACTGAACATAAAATGATATAGCAAATAAGAAAGTATGAAAGTAACTCTCCAAAAATTTAAGATCTTATGTCAATATATATTTCAACAAATTTTCATGATATTTTATATTTTCAGAACTTGCAATAATTTTTGAAGTGTTGTAGACTGTAAACTATTCTTTAAAGTTTCCAAATTGCAAGTTTATGTTTATTTGTGTTTCTATAGTTATCATTTACTGTGTGGAAGACCCAGGCTTTGAATGTCTTCAAATCACAATTCTTGTACAAACTCTGTTTCTTTCTACATTAATTAATGTCAATATTCTGTATATATACAGATATATCCAAATGGATTTATTATTATCATTTTTTCTCACTTTGCATTATAAAAGATTTTACACTAATTATTATTAGTAAAAATTCATGTTTTCTTTTGTTGTGCATTAAAGAAGGTCAAAGAAATAAAATGTTTCTAATTTAAGAGTACATAACAAAAAAAAAAAAAAAAAAAAAAAAAAAAAAATCCAAATTTTCCATGACATGTAAACAGCAGCATGAAGATATATGCCATTTAGGAATAGAATTAAAATTATAGAAATTTGTAAGATTTTTTTTTTATATACACTAAAAATTAAAAAATATGAATAAAGCATAGAAAATAAAATAGAAAGAAATACGAAAAAATTTCATACATGATTAAAATGCAAATCACAGTTATTCACAGTTAGAAAATTCTGCATTCATAAATATTTCTTCACTTTAATAAGCAATTCCATTAAATTGGAAACAGAACTTTTACAAATAAAAAAAAATCTTAATATTTGATGATTGGGCCAATTTTGCATGCATGCATAACTTTCCTTTACGTGAGTAATACTATGTTGGTGTGGAAACAAAAATTCCTTTGTTAGAATTTGTTTGGAGTCTATTTGGAACAGCACTCCAATTGAGAAGATTTAACTTCCTACTAGCAATATTTAGTTTTTGCTTCACTTTACTAAAAAACTATTTTGATACTACTAAAGAGGTAAGCACAGTTGCAGCTTTTGAAATACCTAGCTGAATCTTCTGAGTATTCGTGTATTTTGTCATAAACATCATGTGGATACAGAAGATAGTCATTAGTGACTCCAACAAAAGAAAACAATCTCCATATGTCACACATTTTTCAAGGATGTTTTGTGACCCTGAGTGCTTTGACAGCAGGAAGCAAATTATGTTTTGCCATAAAATCAGGAAGTGATTGCATCCTTGGGCTTACACATGTTCATTTGAAAAACATACTTGGAAGCTATTGGGAATTCTAGCAAACCATTTACAAAATCTGTCTTTAATTTGAAAGCTTTTTTTTGGGGGGAAGGGAAGGTGTTTTATTATTATTATCATTATTTATTTATTTATTTATCCTAAGAAAGATACATGTTTTACATGCCATAATCAAGCTTTGATCTTGTATAATTTTCTTTTTCATCTAAAAAAAGTTAATAAAGCAATTCATCAGAAAGGCATACAAATAAATACTATGGTAAAACTCACAAATGCAAAGTTATGTGTTACTGAAGAGTTCCAAAAAAAGTGGATTTAGAAAAGCTAAAGCACGGGATAATTATATCTTTAGAGGCTATTGTTTAACCTAGTGATACTAATTATAGAACTATTTAAAAAAAGGCAATTTTCATATGAAGACAAAAGTAAAGCCATTTTAGATGAAAATAAATTAATACTTAACATTTTAATGTTGTAAAAGATATTGAACTTATAATGTTGACAGAAAGCTTTTAACAGTTAAGGCATTGTTTTGATGTGTTTAGTATTATTTGTGACATTAAGAACTTACCAAAAAGTAAGGAAGAACTGAATAGCAGTTGTGAGAAGCTTGTAGATGCTCTAAGTGATTCGAAATAAAACTCAGAAGATATTAAACACTGTTGATAAAATCTTGCTGTTTGAGTTAGAAGTGTTATTCCCTTATACTATCACAAACTGCCATCAGTTGTTTCACAGTACTACGCTACATTTAGGGAAAAACGTAAGGAACTTGAAAGCATTTTCCCAAATATGTTAACTGCGCTGATAATTTGTTGCATGCCAATGTCAGTAGCTTCAGCCAAATGTGGCTTTTGAGAACTAAAACTGATAAAAAAATTACCTACAGTCTTTAATGAATGAATAACAATCAAGAGGTCTTTCTATAACAGCAGAAATGCAAACTGCACATTAATTGGACACTGACAATTTAATTAAAATGTATGCTAATAAAAAAGCATGAGATAAGGACATTTAAGAAATGTAGAAAACAGTTATCTAAAAGCAAGAAAATGGGGCAAACATATAATATGTGATTTGTGTGAGAAAATTATGAAGTTACAAGACAAATTATAAGTGATAAATGTTACGTTTAAAAAGTAAATCAGACTATCTTAGTAAATGTGTATAACATATTATTTATTCTAAAATAAAAATCGATTAGAACTGTGCTGTAAAATATAATATACTGAGGAAAGCTTAATTTTTCATACATTTAAAAATTTTCGACATAGAAGTTGTCAAACGTTTTACAATTTTGCTAGATTTTCATGCTATACAATACATGCACTTTGATTAATATAATATATGAGTTACATTACAAATTTTTTATATATTTATAATTTTTTTTTTTTGAAAAACTATTCTTAAGCAAAAAATATTACCCAAGTACTAATAAACTTTCAAAATAAAATTATTAATGATGATAATTTATGTAACAGTCTGACCATGACATAGAAAAGTGTAATATTAAAAGGGATCCCAATAATGAGGCCCTATTTCTCAACTTGAGAAAGTGGTAGGCAAATTCAAACTGGCCCTGACTGGCTGGGCAAATAAATATCCGTTGAGCAACTGCCCTTTCAACATTTTCAGCTGCTTTTTATAGAAAAAAAATGGTATTTTTTAGAGTGGATAAGAAGAATATAAAGAATATATATTACGGATTATTTTTTACAGAATCTGATCAATGCCAAATGATGAAGAATTGAAATTCTTTCAAGAAAAAATAACACACTGTAAAACTCTTCAGAAAACAACAGACTGAAACTGTATTTTACAACTACTCGAACCTGAAATAGCACAAAAAATTGTGCTCACAAAGAAAGATTTCCAAAGCAGAAGTTTATTCAAAGATTCATATATTCCTCTCCTAAGGATGTTCTTTTTATTTACTTCTATAGCTTACATCTTGGTGGAATCATGTCATTTGCAACTAGGAATCAATCCCCATACAACTGTTGAATGGAATAATTACATGCATTCTTTTTTAACTTCCTGATTAAGCGTGGGGTTTTGCTAAAAAGCCCAAATTTTGAAAGAAAGAAATATTTTTCTTAATTTTAATGCTATACAGACATCACAAATAATATTTCAGTCAATATATATATGTAATGATTTTGAACGTGCAGTCAAACGCTGGAACTCTTAACAACTTTCAATGTTCGTCATGGCTGATGGTTAAGGCATACCGATAAATATAACAAAAACTGGATTCTATAAATCACCAAGCTTTATTTTCGCACATAATCAAATCTTAGGATTTTCCTAGATCATAAGCTATTACGGTACAAAGTCCGTAATCCGGACTCGTTGGGACTTCGGCGATTCCGGATTAGGGGTTTTACCGAATTATGGATCATCAATTTAAATCTGGTAAGATGGCATGCAGAAATTATACAGTTAAAAATATGAAACCGTAATTTATAAAATAAAGAGCAATTATGATCTAAAGGGTACCAAACTTTACAAAAAAAACCTTAATATTTATTTGTTTACTTTATTACACATTTCTTTCAACACACGCATGCATAAAGCATACATTACGCATAGCCGAAATTAGAAAATTGCAACCAGAAAACTATTTGATGTGTATTCGTGATATTTATAATGACGAGGAAATTGATTTAAATCATATCAAAGACGGAGTACATCGAGAAGAAATACTACATTTAGTAAGGAATTATAAACTGAATAAAATAAAAACATTTGCCTTGAAGGTAAGAGATAGTGCTGACAGATCAACTTCCAGTTTATTGAGTGCCACGACGTCCCCCCCCTCCCACAGAGCAGTGTGAAATTGATAAACAGGTTTCGGAATGGTTAGAGAAACAAAGGATATATCTTTATCCATTTTTTGCTGCAATTCCACTTTTTGTTTAATGGACTTCGAAACATACTTTCGCTTTCTAGATCCTTTACATATTAGTAAATATATATCGCAAATTCTATTTGACATAATTGAAAGTTCAAGCTTACTTTTATAAAATTGCTCTAACAGTCTGCAAAAAATAATAAGCCGGATCCAATTCAAAGATTAAGGAACAACACAATCTGCAACATTAACTGAATTAGATAATTTTAGCTTAGCTTATACCGTCCGTTATACATTAAACGCGCATGCGTAAAGCATCCAAAAAAAAGTTTGTGGCTTTGAGGTTTAGATTATTGATCATTCCAGATAATGGACGTCCAAATTATGGACTTTGTACTGTACAATGTTTTTTATATGCACATTATATCATCTTACAATAAGAACAAAGGAAGGCATAGCAAAATAGAGATGTTTGCAAGGCGGAAGCTAGGAAATGAATGCAGCAGAATAATGACGTAGTTATTGAGCCAAGAGTATTTATACTACGTTTGATGTAATTGTAGAGGCAAGCTATGATTGGTTAATATTAGTTTTAGTTGCCCTTTTCCAGTAGCATTACATAACATAGAAAGATCTCAAATTTGGGAGAACAGATGAATTTAGGGGAAGAGCACCAGTTAAGAATCACTGTATTTATCTGTTTCTTGTATTTCATTAAATCTAAGATATTCTTTCCAGGGTTTTCATTCTCAGTCCTAGTTAGATTTTGCAACAACATTTATATTTGGGATCAAGTAAAATCTTACTTTTTCATAAAACTTTTCCCTTTAACTCATTAAAGCATATGAATAATTTTCTAGACATTAAACTCCTGCTCTAGGCGGACTTCAAAAATTAAATCTAGCATTTTTAAACCCATTCTACTCTCAGTATCAAAACTGATTTTATAAAATTATCTGTCTTATTTAAAGAAACTGTAGAATTAGAAGCCTAGAATTACATGCCTTACAAGCCTAGGAATTACATGCCTAGAATAAATAATTAAGGGAATGAAGTATGTACCCAGTTTCCATGAACATCCTATGAAATAACATACACCAAAAATGATTGAAATAATAATTATTATTTCTCCACTCAGTTACTGTTAACTAGTTATAAGTAAGAGTTCCTTGTGTGTATAGATGAATGGCTTGCTTAATTAGTCAAATGTAAAATTTAAAAATAAAATAACTTCAAATGTACTCGCAATTTTACATACAAGATTAACATTATCAGTAGTCTTTTCAGGCCAAATTAACATCTTTTTTACTTCATTTTTTGTGCTCCAATGACAATTTTCAAGCCATCCGATTTTACTTTTCTTCAGGTTAGTTTGGCAAATAGAAGTTAATTTTTACTGTTATGCAAGTTACAGTCATAGAGACACATTCCAATAGCCCCAAATCATTAATTAATTTTAAAAAAATACAAAAAAATAGTCCTGTGTCTTAGACCTTTACTACTTCATAAACCTGCCAATGGTGTTATCACGTTTTGAATATAACCCAGATAAGTACCTATATTATCTTAATATATACTGACCTTCTCAATATGTTCAATTAAGGCCATTTTCTGCATTTAATTTTGTGCATTAACCTTCTATAGGTTTTGTCTTCACTTATGAACTTGCTTTTGTATAACCAAAACAACAAGACTAGGCTTTCCTTACAGCAGCAGCATAATATTTTCAAAAATCATATTCATTTATAGCTTTTTGAACACGGATCTTATTCTCATAAGAAAATAGCTTTAATACATGCTTAAAATCACTAAGATTATGAAATTAATTATCTTACTTATGTAATTACCTTATACATCCATATGTCTGTTCCAAAACAAGCAGATATTAGATGCACAGCTATAATACTACATTGACATTCAGTTACATCAAATCTGTAATATTCAAAATAATAAAACTAACATTATAAGAGTTAAGGAAATATACAGAAAGATTATTTAAAAAGCAGTTAAAGTAAAATAAATAACAACTAACAATTAAAATCCAACTTTACAACTATGAATAATAATGTAAAATGCATTATGAATTATAAGCTTTATAAAAAGCTAATTGCTCAGAATTTTTACTATTTTACTAATTTCATTTCAGAATTTCTTCAACACTGTCTTGAAAAATAGGTTAGTTACAATAAGCATTATTCTTCTTTCCTGCATAATTTCTTTAACTGCTGTTGGATTTTGGATTAATAGTGGACATTACCTTGTCCTGTCCCAGTTAATTAGGAATCTATTATACTGTTTATTATTATTATTATTTATTTAGTTATATGTAAAATTATTATTTATAATTACAGAAGCTATATTTATAAGGGATGTAGAACTTACTTTCCAAATTTTAAAGATCCAGTAATATACGTCTGCCAATGGGCACAATAAAATAAGGTGATTGCAATGAAACACTGAAAAAACATCCAGTTTGAATAAGCTCCCAGCTTTACAGCTATGCATATTCCCAGCGACACAAAAACTATGAGGAATAAAAATATGATAAAGCATGAAAAAAATTATTACTTCAAATATTCGAAGCAAAGCTTCAACTTGCATGTCATGCCTTCACTAAATATACAGTACAAAGTCCAAAATCCAGACATTTCATATCCAGAATAATCTAAAATCAACACCTCCAGATCACGAGTAACCATTTTTCCTAATGCAAATTAAATATTTTTTTAATAACAAAGCATGTGGAGAGTCCCAATTCTTAATTTCCCTTACACTTCAGCACTGATGCTGGTGAACCATTATTTATTATTTTTTTTAATTTCATCACCAAGACTATTAACACACTGCAGCTTGAGAAATGCCTCATGCAGCGATGTCTAAACAATTTTTGGTACTTTTCCGTTTCGCCGGCGCAAATCTCGCCAAGCAGACTTTATTGGCGACAACATACAGTATACACATAAAAAATATTTAAAAAATGTTAGTTCTAAGAATTCTTTTAAAAAAAGAAGGCATAAACATTTTAATATCGCTTAAAATTTTATAAAAAGCCAATAAATAAAGACAATAAGTTTGCAAAAAGACATTAATTTAAGAATTTACTATGCTTTCATGGTTTAACATCCTGTTTCGCCGGTTCATATCACGTGACCCCAAGCGATCTAATCTCACGTAAATTACTCTACAAAAATCTAATGCTCTCAGTAATTATCTACATTAATTTCAAGTTAAATCTTAATTTGGAACACAAGTTTAAATGCAAGAAATATTTCAATTCATACGAATAGCTTACTCAAAAAATTATGTAAAACTGCAGTGCTTTACTTCACTAATGCATTCTCATTAGAATGGATGAATATAACTCTTGACTTTACCTTTTCTATATTTTCGGCTTCGGGTAAGCGCTGTGATTGCATCCTAATTGACTTAATTACCGAAAATGTCCTTAGACATAAAACTGAACTATCTGATAAAAATTCTATGTAATTATATGCAGTATTGAAAGAAACAATCAATCTGATTAGAAAAAGCTGCGACTTGTTTTGAAAATGAGGCGTAAAAGGTTACCAGCGAGAATATTCCGTTTGGCATCGGTTTTACCATTATTGGTGACTTTATCGCTTGTGCCGGCAAAACGGAAAAGTACCCAATTTTTTTAAATTTTCAATTTTAGTAATTAAATGCCAAAGAGTATTTTAACTTTTTATGTTGATATTATGTTTTGCAATGAAAAAAAAAAAAAAAAAAGATTTTGTAAATGATACTCACAGGCCAAATGATTACATTTAAAGCTGCTTGAATTGAGAATAACTGATTTGTTAAGTCCAGGACTGGTAACAGAGCTGATGTAGCCATAATGGGCGGCAAAATTTTTAGAAAAGTGCCGTATAGCAAAATTAAGGCATGGCAAAATCTTTAGAATTTAGAGAAGTCACTGGAATGCAAAATTTAGAGGCGGCAAGATGCTTAGAATTGAGAAGGCACTTTATAACAGAATATCAGACCCAGAAAGACTGCACTGGGCTGCAAAATATCTAGCGCTGGCCCTGGATAAGCGTTAAGTATATGTGGGTATTAATTTACGCAGCATTCAGATATGCTTTAAGCATGTGTGGGAAATAGTCAAAAATATAATGAACAACTAAACTAAAATCACTCAGCTTAACTTCATTAGACTGCATTAGAAGCAAAACAAAATTTAACAGGACACCATGTCTATCTCATGATACATCGCTAACAGTATATAGTAGATGCTAGTTAAGCTTTATGATATGAATTTTAAGGTTTTTCAGATATCTCACACAAAAAGCTAAATTTTCCAATTAATGGAATTTATGAAGAAATACGGGGAAGCGGTAATAAATGAAAATGATATAACAGAAGTTTTACATTGTAATGACAATGCCAAAGTCATCAGTCAACTAACAATGTCAAAATCTGTAGTGTAGTTCTAAATCAAAAAAAATATTGCTACTGATAGCAACAAAAGTGACAGTGAAAACAAAGAAATTTCAAAGTAACAATTTAGTTTGAATTTTCAATGCGGCAATTACAGTGAACATTGGATATTCATAATGAACAAGAAATTATATCTATTTACAGAATTAAAGAAAAAGTATTAGCACAAAAAAGAAACAAATTAAACAACTCACAATGAATGAAATTTTTAATAAAGCAAACAAATAAATATTGAGCATTTTAAAAATTAGATTTGATTCCTTTAATATCATACATGCTTCGTTATTTTATTAATCACTATTTCATATATTTTATAATTTTTACATGTCATCTTACTAGATTTAAAGTAATCTAATATCTGAAAAAATTCTAAATCCAGAAATGTCACAGTGCCAACAAGTCTGGATCTCAGACTTAGTACTGTAAAAGTTTTACAGTCAAAAGTCGTTAATTCGGACACCCATAATCCGGACCTCAAAGCTACAAACTTTCTGCGCATGCGTCGCGTTGACGCATGCGCGTAAGACCTTTACCGCTGCGAATTTGCGTGTGCGCGTGCGCAAAATACGTTTACGAATGCGCGTTTAATGTATAACGGACAGGATAAGCTAAGCTAAAATTATCTAATTATCTATTTCAGTTAATGTTGCAGATTGCGTTGTTCCTTAATCTTCGAATTGGATCCGGATTATTATTTTTTGCATACTGTTAGAGCAATTTTATAAAAGTAAGCTTGAACTTTCGATTATGTCAAATAGAATTTCCGATATATATTTACTAATATGTAAAGGATATACAAAGCGAAAGTATCTTTCGGAGTCCATTAAACAAAAAATGGAATTGCTGCAAAAAATGGATAAAGGCATATTCTTTGTTTATCTAAACTTGAACGTTTGTTTATCTAAACTTTGTTTATCTTTAACGCTGCGGCGGCGTGCAATGAATTGGAAGTTGATTTATCAGCACTATCCTTATCTTAAGGGCAGATGTTTTTATTTTATTTGGCTTATATAATTGCTTACTCAATGTAGTATTTCATCTCAATGTACTCCGTCTTTGATATGATTTAAATCAAATGCCTCGTCATTATAATTCGCTTCCGATAGCGAAGAAAGTGACATAGGTTATTGAAAACGAAAAAATTTCGATTGAGAAATTAGTCGGTATTCTCGATACAGCAATTATAGGACTTGAACAGCGGAACTTTGTAACTGAACAAGAAATTATGTCTGTTTATAGAATTAAAGAGAATGTATTATCACATAAAAAACGAAGCAACTGAAACAACTTACATTGAAAGAAATGTTTAATAAAGTAAACCAAATAAATATTAAGCTTTTCTTTTGTCAATTTTGATACCCTTTAGATCATAATTGTTCTTTATTTCGTAAATTACGGTTTCATATTTTTACTTTTATAATTTCTGCATGCCATTTTACCAGATTTAATCTGATGATCTATAATCCGGAAAAATCGATAATCCGGAATCGCCGAAGTCCCGAACGAGTCCGGATTAACGACTTTTGACTGTATTACTTTCAAAAAATAATTTTCATCTACAAAATGCTTTTTCTTAATGATAAAAAAATGTGAAAAAAGTTTCAGTTAGATTTCAAAAGTATGATTATTAATTTTATTTTAGTACTACAAATAATTTACTACATACAAAGCTTACAGAAATAAATAATTTAAATTCTTCCCAAAGATTAAAAGATGGATTTAGATCACAGAATGCAAATTTGACGAAATGTCAAATACAGAATGCAGAATACCTTGACATATATGCTCATAAATCAAAAGAATTCAAATTCACTGATCTTATCTCTAAAATCACAAAAAAATGTGTGAAACAGAAAATTCCAAGTTTTATATTAATTAATAGCTTAATAAATTACTAAGCTAGTGATTTTTAGCATAGTAATTAATACAAGGTAATCAAAAAAGTTCTTGTCATTATTGATATGACATTGGAAGAGTGAACCACAACATAAAAATAGTCGCCAAACCTGTCAATGAAGTGGTTAGGATGGGAGTCCGGACACTGATAAAGAATACAAAAGCGCAATGCATTGGTACTTCAAACATAACTCACACAGTGACTGATTGAAATGGACACGTCAAAGGCACTTGTTCGGAGTTCTTTGTTGTATGATTATAAAGTGTGCCTGTCAGCAGCAGAATCAAGTAGCCTAATTTGCCAGGACATTGGGGATGATGCTGTTAAAGAATGAACTGCTAGGCAATGGTTCCAGAAGTTCAGGTCAGGGGGATATGTCTCTTAGTGATGCACCACGCAGCAGTCGGCCACAAGTGCTGGACGATGAGGCCCATAGAGCAGGCATAGAGAGTGACAGTAGCAAAACATGTGGTGAGCTTGCTGTGCACTTTCAAGTATCTGATGAAACCATTAGACTCAATTTGCACCGCATAGAAAAGGCATACAAGCTGAGCAAGTGGGTACCCCACTCACTGTACGATGCAAACAAGCAACAACATGTGTTTCCTGTTTGTCACCGCTTACTCGGCACTGCAATGCATCCATATTTGATAGAGTACACACCAACAATGAAAAATGGGTCCAGTATAACATACTCAGGCATTTCAGACATTGGTAGTCACCACGGGAACCTGTGCCTCACAGTGTGAGACCTTCTCTCCACCCACGCAAGGTCATGCTCTGTATCTGGCGGACTAGTCGCCAAGTGGTGCACTATGAGCTTCTGCCAGTGGGCCAAACCATCACGGCAGGCATGTAATCGCAGCAGCTGGAATCAGGCACTGATGCATAAAGAGCCAGCATTGGTCAATTGTAAGGGTGTACTCCTCCTTCATGACAATGTGAGGCTGCATGTGACTCAGAAGGCCAGGGACACCATCCAGTGACTGGGCTGAGAAACACTACCTGATCCACCATACCCCCCCCAGACCTTGCGGCAACAGACTACCACCTTTTCCATTCTCTGAACAACTATCTTTGTGGGAAATCCTTCAACCGGTCAGACCTCAAAAAGGCTCTCATGGACTTCATTGCATCCAAGACTCGAGAGTTTTCAGCTAGCCATTCATTGGCAAAAGGCACTGGATGTCGATGGTGATTTCTTTGAGGATTAGCAGTTATTTGTTTTACAACTTTTTCTTTCTGACTTTCCAAAACAGCAAGAACTTTGTGTTTACCTTGTACTTGAGTAAGTCAATGAATAACAGCAATTTTTACCAACTAGCAATGATCACCATTTATTACATCTTTATGAAATAAATTCCATAAATAATAAATTTTAATAGAATAAAAATAAAGTATTTAATTAGTTATAGAATTTATATATATATAAAACAGAAGTAAATATAAGTAAATGTGAAGAAAAATTTTCTGATGAATGAAATAAGAATATATATAGATATTTATTACGTAACTGGAAGAAACCAGAAACTTGGAAATTATGCAGACTT